AGAGTATCCCTAAACATTTTTTTTAGAGGTGGATGCACCTCTGAATGTCCTCTAAGAGTCCAAAATGTAAAAACAAAGGGAGAAATGCAGACAACTAAGCCAATTCCAGATGTAATCCCCTGTCTCTTATCTGGGAAGATCGCCTGGACAGGCCATGATTTAGATCAGAATTCATCCTGGTCCCAAGATACAATTAACAAATGTTTATGCAGCAGGAAAGGATTTCAGAATCACATCTCCTAGGACAATAATTATACAGGTGCATCCTGAGAAGCAAACTACAGAAAAAGAAAGCATGAAGGCATTGATTAAATACTTGATGGGATTCAAGTCCTCCCTTTTAAACCATTCCAGTTGTTTGCCGGGCCTGTTGGTGTTAATGCATAGTGCTGACAAGGAGTGACTTTCAAAGATCTTCTCAATGTCTTCATGCTTTCTCAATAATTTTATAATTTAGCCAACACTTTGTTAATTAAACAATGGGGAGTGGGGGAACCAGCATCTACATCCAATAATATTTTGAAAGCATGGTGTGCTCAAGAACTGTTACTTAAGCATTCTGGATACTCTCAAAACTATTGCACAGCTATTATTTAAATTTGAAAAAAATAAGTAATTTTTTTTAGCAAGAAGGAGTTTTCTCTTAAAAGAGAAGCACAGTTGTAAATAGTTCTGTTCATGCATTGCAAGCAATTTAAAGTGCACCATAATAGTACAGCTTAGGTATAAGGGAGGTGCTGTTTGAGAAAACTTTGGGCAGAAACAAAAAAGCGGCTGACAGAGTGGTGCAGAGCTAACAACTTGCTCATAAATACAAGGAAGACAAAGGAGCTTGTGGAGACAGAAGAGCAATGTCCAGCCACTTTTGATTGATGGGGTCTGTGTGGAGAGGGTAACAACGTCCAGATTTTTGGGCATTGAATTACAAGAGGATCTGTCCTGGAGTGTCAACATAAGGGGGCTTGTGAAGAAGGCACAGCAGAGACTGTACTTTTTGAGAATTCTAAGGAAAAACCATCTTCCGCAGAAACTGCTGCTTGCCTTCTATCACTGTGCCATTGAGAGCGTGCTCACTTATGGCTTATGTGTGTGGTACGGAAGCTGTACTACCCAGGACAGGATGGGGTTGTGCAGAGTTGTTAAGGCAGCAGAGAGCATTGTTGGCTGCCCACTCTCCACCTTAGAGCAGATTTATGCCACAAGGTGCCATAGGAAGGCACTGGACATAGTAAAAGATCCATCGCATCCTGGTCACTGTCTCTTCGAGCTCCTGCCGCCGGGACGGAGATACAGGACGATGAAGACAAGAACGAGCCGTCTTAAGAACAGCTTCTTCTCCAGAGCGATCTCGGCCCTGAATGGGAAGCCTGGACTTTGAAAGTCATCTAATCTTCCTTGCTGTATTATACTGTATTGTTTTAATTAGTCTTTTTATAGTTGTTTTGATTTTGTGTGGAGTGCCCTACCTGGGTGGATGGAGCAGCCAAGTAATTTCGTTGTCCCCGAGAGGGGGCAATGACAATAAAGATATTATTATTATTATTATTATTATTATTATTATTATTATTATTATTATTATTATTATAAATGGGAAGTTTATTTATTTAATTCAAAAGGCAGACTTTTGAATTAAGAGTATGCAAGATTTTTTAAAAAACCCACAAGCTCCAGTTTCCTTACCTTATCACCCCTACCCTTAATAGTATGAACAACAGATTAAAATAAGAAATGAATGATATTGGAGGTGTAATATATAGTATAATAAAATATTGGACCTGAAATTTGTAGCTCAAGATGCTTCTGCATTTTTTAAGAATATTGTATAGGAACAATAACTGGAAATCCATTAACTATCACTTAGAAGGTGTGTTCTGGATTTTACCTCAACATGTATGGGCTAAAACTGTGGGTGGGACAGTAGCCCACATGCAAGTCCCACCCGCAATGTCACAGTATGCATCAGCCTGCCTGCTTACTCCCCAACCCTCCCTTGTGCTGAGTGGAGAAGGTTTTCAGGAGCGGTTTACTTACATTTGCTTGAACATGGGCAGAACATTTTGCAGAATCAGGGAACCTTCTTTATCACATAGAGTTACATTTGTGTGTTTGGGTATATACCTATATTCTGCTACCAAAGTTGAACTGCTAGGTAAAGCTACCTAATTTGACCTCTACTGACATTTTAAACTAGCACACCAACTAAAGTTAATCAGCACCTTTCTGTCTGTTCCTACCTAACAAGGAACCTGTCTGTTTTGTGAAAGGATGGAGGAAGACTAACAGATGGTTATTGTATTTCCAAAGACGGGAAATGGCCAAAGGCCTTGGTGCAGCCCAATATTAAATCCCACCTTAAGACTCTTCAGAAGTCATAAAAAGCCAGACTATTCTGTCCCACCTGCTTCTTTGTTTACTTTTGTAGCCTGATGAAGAGCTCTGGAGAACTCAAAGCCTGCATACATTTACTATATGTGCTGTAGATTTTGTTTCCTGAATTTGCTTTCATTATGTTCTTTTTGGTCCTGTCCACATTTATGCTGTTTCTTTACAGAAACATTTAGGTGGGAGGTAGGGAAATGTATTTCCCCTCCAAATAAGACAAGTTTAAAAGGAAAAAAGGGAAAGAGAAGTGACACAAGACCCTCTTGTTTGTATTATCTGTCTATCTGACCTCCTTCTGTTGGAATCTGAGAAAACCACCTACCAAAATGGATGCTATTTTAAACTACCCATCTTCTCTGACAAGATTCCCCTCCCCTTTAGGAACTGTTCATTGCTGCTCTGAAGGAAAATAAGAACTTCACACAATTATTCTTCATGACTCTCTTGAGTGTGCTTATGGCAATAAGCCCAGCCTGTTTTTATACAGAAAAGATATTCCAAGCTACTTTAAGCTCTCACATTTAACCCCTTAAAAAGCTACTGTATCTATTTCGGCACTACAGCACTGTGGGGTTTGTTTGTTTTTTCCATATACAGACATAGCAAGATTGTTAGCAAATCAACAGGTGGATTTAAGGCAGTAGGGCAAAATGTTTAAAAGTGATAACAAGCTCAACTAAGCAGGTCATGGACCCACACAAGATATTGTAATGATATGTATTTAATACAGCCTACTCCTTTTTCATAAAGATGTTTGGGGTCACCCAACCCAGGCCAGCCTAAGACCAAATGTTGCCCCAGCTGAGAAGCATTTTTGGTGGCTCTCCGAGCAAAGAGGGGACTTGCTGGCAAAGCAGCATTACCAAAGCAGGACTGAGGGTCAGTCCAAGGTCAGAGCGCAAGCAAGCAGAGTCCAAAGCAAAGGCTCCGGCGAGAAGCAAAGTCACAGCGGTTCAAAGTCAGGGACCAAGCTATCTGAGCTCAAAAGGGTCAGGCAAGAGACAAGGTTACAGCAGTCCACAACCAGATTTGGCATAGACAGGCAACCCAGTAGCAGGCAGGACACAGAGCTGGTTTAGCAGCTCTTCCAGCTCAGCACTGGGGGTTTAAGCTGGTGCTGATGGAACTACACCACAGCCTCAGCTGACTCCTATTAACTCCTCTTTTCCAGAGGTCTCCTTAAGAGGCGGGTCTTATTTCCAAGGAGACTGTTGCTCCTGAAGAGCCATTGCCTGTATCCATGTACTTGCTCGGAATTAGGTTTCCATCCAGTGTTTATGGCACCTCCTACTTTCCTTTGGGCTTGGAACTCATTTGGCTTCAATGTGTTGAGGCTGAACTCATCCTGGGTGTGGATGGCCCCTCCTCAGCCTCACTGCAGGATCCCAGCTCCTTGCCCCCAGAGGGAGTCTGACCCAGGGCTTGGCCAAGGACATCCTCTGAGTGGAACATCCCCAGCTGGGACATGGCATCCTCCTTTAATAAGGATTCCTTCATCTGAGACATGACACATATATCATTCTTCTGCTTTTAAAATATCATATAGTAAGCTAAGTTCTCTAAGTCCTGGTCCTCCTGTAGCCAAAACAGCACCACACAAACATACATAAGAAATCAGGCTCAGGCAAAACGTCAAGGTTTACAGTACTAAAAAAATATTGAGGTAGGGAACTCAATAGCCATGGCATGCTGTGACTCACAGTTGGACAGGTGAGGGGAATCTGGAAATCTGGAGGGAAGGGTCAGTGGAATGGGATCTGCATTCTGCTCTCTACACTACAACATTGTTCGCAGATCCTATGTCATTAAAGCTTTAATTCATGATTTGCATGCATGATTTACCGCAGTCAGATAAGACAATAACTTTGAATGCATGAACCTGACTTTTCCCTAAGGCATATGCCTTACTTTTAAGAGGCATGCATAATTCACCATATGTTAAACATAAATAATTTCACTGTTTAATATTTGGCTTCATACAAATAAATCAGAACAACAAATAAAATTCTTCCTCTTGAATGTATGTGTTCATGAGGACTAGAACATAAGGCAGAAAATGTGCTCTTTGAGGCACCTAATGCCTTTGAGTTAGAGGAAATTACCACACACTGTGTTAAATAACGCCTTTTATCAACATGTAAATAACTTTTCTTGGTAAGCAATCATGAAAGGTTCTTCAAGAGAAAATTAATATATCTGATTTGTTTATATCTTCATCTAATTTAGAGCAAGAGGAATTGGCACTGAAAAGAGATATGAAATGTGTCACTAATATTTACCACGCTATGTACTTGAGTGTATATATAAATGCTTATAAATAGTTACATGCTCAGTATCTGTGATGAGCTAAATCAGATAAGCTATTTAATATACAATCCTATACGGTATGTTGCAAGCAATCCCAGTCATCTCCCTTTTTCTGTCAGCTGTAGCTTTGGTGGGAAATTAAAAGTTAATTTTGTCTTTGTCCTTTTGTCTTTCTCCTTATCAGTATTGCCTCCAAGGCATGCTAAAGTATGCTGAAAGTGACCTTCAGTTTACTAATATCATCCTGACACAAGTGATTTAGTCTCCATTCCTCTAATGTTCAGCGTTAAACAGAAGAAACAGTCACTCACCAACAGCCCGTTGATTTCATTGTGTTCACAAGTACACCCTCGCCTCCAAACACACAAGGGATCTGTACCTATTTTAAGAACACCACAACAGACTGTGTGATATTTAGCCTATATTTGTGCATGAGTATTAACTCATTGTAACATTAGTAGTAGTAGTAGTATTGGTATTAGTATTATATCTTGTATTAATTTATTTCTCATAAATCTCAAAGCAATTTACAACCAAATGAGAAAAATACATAAAAACAGGTATTAAAGCACTAGAAATATTGTCACATTTTTCGTAAGCACAAAGGCACACACGTTGCTCTGTTGTGATTTAAGTAGTTGTCTGGCTTTTGCCGAATGGTTCCTAGCAAAATGTTGTGGATATCCCATAATTCCTTGTATTGAATAAAGAGACAAATAAGATGATTCCCCTGAAAAATGTATCCAATTCAACTGTTTTTTATTTGGAGAAGATACATGTGATGCCTATAATCCCTTGCACTATTAAAAGTTATTGTAGGATGGTAGCTTGAACAGTGATAGAAGCACAATTCTGAATTCACTTCTGTTCATGAATGCAGTCAGTAGTCTTAGACTTGTTATTATCTCTGTGCCTGCAGTGGCTGGATGACTACCTATCACGGATGCTGTAGAAGTGGATTTCCTGTATTGAGTTTGAATATATTACCTTTAAGGTCTTTTCCAACTCACTGATACCATCCCCAGTATGTGGAGGATGACAATGCATTGTGAATGCAGTTTGAACATTAGAAAGTACTATAGAGATTTCCTATTGTTGCCTAAATGTTGGTTCCTTCCCTCCTGGGTAACAAAATCAGCCTTAATGCTCAATTCTGTGAAGAACTGTGACTTTTACAGGCGCACCGGCCCTTCTGTCAGTACACAAGTGGGAAAACAGGCATATCTCCTGAAAGAAATCCTGCATGGCTCTGTTGAAGTCAATGACTCCTTTGCATATGACATTGGTATGTAGCATGGTTGGCAACCTGATGGTGGGTGTGATTTTTAGAGATGTTCCAAGTATGAATACTTGCAAGGAAGAATATGAAGTGAGCCCTGGCAAAAGTTTTGTGGGATATGAACAAAGAAGGAAAGAATAAATGAGAAAGCAAGACTGGAGGCAGGTGAAAACTAAAAGAGATAAAGATTGTCCATGATTCTAGATGTAAACACTCAATTAATCATTAGAAAGGCAATTTCAAGGGAGAGAACAGACTTTCCCAGGCTACATGCCCTGAAAAATAATCCTTCCATGATGAGCACTTTCCGTTTGCTACCATCTTTTCGTCTGACGTTGAGGCCACAGCAGCAGTTGTCAGCGGGACTTAAGTGCACATAAATGTGCACTGGATTGTGGCCAGTGAATCTTTGTTAGCTTCTCATGTGCCAGTGAGGAATGGCAATCAATTTCAATCCAGTCAGCAATTACCTGTGCCAACCATCACTCAACGTTGTCAGACTGTGATTCCCCTGGCACTCATGCTTTGATTAGTCAGCTTGCCTAGGTAATCTGCAAGACAGGAGTTGAAAGGAGGAAGAATTGGAAATAATAATAATAATGTTCCCTTTTAGTGCATTGAAGAAGAAGCTGTTCAAGAACAATCCCTTCTTGTATGAACAACAGCACAGAGTGCCTTCTGGGCAGCCAGGGTCAATGACAACTTGGGTTATCATTCCTTCGTCCTCTAGGTCAGTAGATTTGAGTCTGGGCTTACCCAGTTTCTGAAATTTTTCTTCATATGACAACACTGCTATTAAAGGTCATTATATATACTGCTGCATTTCTTGCAGAGTTCATATATATCAGAGCTTCCCAATGCAATGTTTTCTTGTTCTCAAAATGCACGTAATTCATTACTGAATGCATTCAGCTAAAGCACCATCTCTTTTCAGAGCAGGACTCAGCTGGCTCCCAACCAATTCTGAACTAACTTGGAAAAGCAATTTTTAAAATCTGTAGTAAATCTGCCTCCCCAGGGAATTAATGTGTTAACTAACCTTAATAAATGAGTACAGGTTAATTTATCCAGGAAAATCTGCATAAACCCAGCATATGATTAAACTGGGGAATAGTGAATATGCTCTCTGATTGTTCCACTTTTTACCAGTTGTCAACCCTGAAAGATTTGTGGAAGTATTAAAATGCATTAAAATACATATTATATAATACAATGAGGTGGCTAATCATGGACCGTAACAGGTATTATACAGGTAAAAGGAAAATAATCAGTTGTGCGCTTAGGCATAAGAACAAAGGGAAGCCTTCTGGATCAGGCCAATGTTCCATCTAGTCCAGCATTCTGCTCTCACAGCAGCCAACCAAATGTGTGGGGGAAGCATGCAAGCTGAGCACAACAGCACTCACTTACCTGTGAATTCCTGCAATTGGTACTCATACTGCCTCTGACAGTGGAGGAAGAACCTAGCCATGGGGGCAATTTTAGATTCTGGACTGAATGGCCTTACAGTCCCTCCCACCCCACTTTAGATGTGTTTTACTTCACTTATGTCAGCCATCAGTCGATTCCCGCCCTTATTCTGCACTTCACAGCTACTACATTCTACTACTACTGCTACTACTACTACTAATGCAAAATTTTATTTTAAAAAAATGCAAGCTACAGTTTCCATACTATATCACCCTATTCATAATAATAATATAATAATTAATACAGTGGTACCTCTGGTTACGAACGCTTCAGGTTACGAGCTCCGCTAACCCGGAAGTAGCTGCTCCTGGTTGTGAACTTTGCCCCAGGATGCGAACGGAAATTGCACACTGGAGGCGCGCACACAGCGGGAGGTCCCATTAGCGAAAGCGAGCCTCAGGATAAGAATGATTTCAGCTTAAGAACGGACCTCTGGAATGAATTAAGTTCGTAACCAGAGGTACCATTGTATCCTGCCATTCTGGGCGGATCCCAACAGAATATTAAAACCACGATAAAACAACAAACATTAAAAACTTCTCTAAATAGGGCTGCCTTCAGATGTCTTCTAAAAGTCAAATAGTTGTTTATTTCCTTGACGTCTAATGGGAGGGTGTTCTCTGAGAGGCAACTCTGATTTTTTTAAAAAGAAAAATTTAATTTTATGGAGCAATCTGAAAAAGTAAGCAGGAGAGAACCGAAAGAGGACATACCACTGTTTCCAATGCTCTGCTGGGCTCATGCAGCCAAATCAGAAGTGATAATGGAGTGGAACTTGCCCGTTTTTATTTCTCCTCCTCCTCCTCCTCCTTCCTCTGTCAAAAACATTATCCTTCCCATTGTCTTCCAGTGAGAGGGGAACATATGTACAGTATTTCATATGCTTCAGCATGTTTTAGATTGCTTTCCCGGATCCACACCCCCACACCCCCCCACACCAGAACACTTTCCTCTCGCCTCGGACAGAGCTCTGATTCTGGTCTGGCAAGAGCCACCAAATGCTTCTGTGGCAGTAAGTAAGGGCCCGGGGGGGGGGGGTCAGATCTTCCTCTTCAAGGGCACAGTTCTCTCTCCGCTTTCGGAAAGGGAGATCTGTAATATCTTCTGGCCCCTGGCGGTGCCTTCCTAAGGACCAGAGGATTGCAACTTGAAATGCATAATGGCACCGTCATGCCTATAGGTATAAAATGATTCTTTCTGCTGCCCTGATGAGAAAGTATATTTACTTGGCAGTAAGAACCATCTTTTTGTAGGAAGGGATAATATGTATTTGTAAGTAAAAATGATAAAATGTCCAGTGAAGATCTGTGACTGTATACATAACTTCCGTGGTGGTGGGTGACCATAGCATTACAAGTGTGGCACTAAATTGCAGCTACGTGGGGTTAGAGTGCTTAGAGGCACTCTTCTTATTACTTCACATAAGGAGTCCTGCAATTTAAAATAACTATTAGGGCCAAGCCATCCATCACATGAAGCACTGCACTTCCCTTTTGATGGGGCTAAAGTTTCCAACCAACCATACAAACGCGGAAAATATTGTTGGAGTCCACCTTGCCCATGTAAAGAAGAAGAAAAAGGAAGAAAAGCATCTAGCTAGAAGCTTTGCTTTCTGATCACAGGCAGGAAATCAATAGGGGGGAAACAAGGTTGTGTCTCCCCTCACACACACACTCATTTGGTGTATAGGTGAGGACACAATCAGGAGTTATTACACAGCTCCAGCTAAGGGCCTTTGGAGCTTTGCAGAGATTTTAACCTGAGACTCCTCCGTATTTATCCTACATCTCCACTAAAACATTTTGTGGAATTAATCAATGGGAAGCTTTTCTCTAAGTTTAAGGGTGCATTCAGATGTGGGGAAATACTGTGTTAGTTTTCTTGATTATAATGCTAGTGCTTCTGTCCCATTTCCTAATGTTCCTTTCATGCTGTACTTCCTGCTGCATTATGAGACTGTGGCTTTTTGATCAATATACTGGCATTTCATGCTAAATTTCACTCACACCAGCGGTGTGACACAACAATGAACACCAGTGCACAATGTCACTCTTCCACCACCCTTTCCACACATGCATGATTCACTCATGGTAACAGCAGGAAAGAACTGCATGCTGATATACTGTCTCACATTTTGTCACTTTTGCTATTTTCAGTGTTGCAAGTTGTCAGGGGTTCAGGAGCAGAGGCAAGGGAAAGGGAGGAAACAGAGAGTGAGGGGGAGGAGGCAGAAGAAAAGATGAGTGATGACGACGACCCGAGAATCTCCGAGTCTTTCCAGTGAATCAGAAGATTCACAGAAAGGAGCACCAGTGGCCAGGGCAAGGGGGGAGCCTAGGGGGACACCCCAGGAAGATAGAGCTAGAGGGGACTCAGAGGGGAGCAGTTGGAAATCGGGACCAGCGTCACCGCCAGAGAGCAGGGAAGAGGAAGGGCGCCAGGGAGCAAGCGCTGGCAGCTCACAACAGGGGGGGAGGGCACGAGTCAGGAGTGGCCACACCTCCATCGGGGAGCGAAGAAACGGTTAGACGGAAGGTGGAAGGTTGGGCGCGCGCGCCAAGTTCAAATGCACAGGAAGGTGGCGCAGTGAGCAGCCCGGAAAGGGAGCCAGGTCCTAAAGCCCGGCGCAAGGAGACAGAAGGGTCC